GCAGTGGGGAGTCCGTGGGGGCAACGATCAGTGGTCAGTGGGGAGCTGGCGGGGAGCAGTGGGCAGTAGGCAGTGGGGAGCCAGTGGGAGACAGTGGGCAAGGGGGCATCAGAAGCGGGCAGTGGGAAATCAGCAGTGGGCAGCAGGCAGCGGGGAACAGCAGAGGGCAGTGGGCAGTGGGAGCTGGCAGGGGGCTGGTCCGCCAGGTGGCGGGTGGTCTGCCCATGCCTGGCCTGTCGGTGTGTCCTTCCACCAATCCATCCTCTCTCTATGTGGGTCAGTGGTTCTGGGCCCACCAGGGTGACCCGGGCAGCGCTCAGGGGGATTCGTGACAACATGCAGGGTCTCAGGCACGCGCGTGTCCCCCGTGGCCGGTCTCCCTGCGGCTCCTGCCCGTGTCTGGGTGGGGATTGTGGGCGCACAGGCTGGGCGGGCTGAGCTGTGAGAGGGACTGAGGGTCTCCACCCCCAACCTGGACCTTAGGGTCGTACCACGCATGGGCCTGACCAGAGGCCATCGGCTCCCCAGGGTCCCAGGGTGTCTCTAGGTGCAGCCCTGGGGCTCCCCACACCGGGGGGGTGGCTGGGAACGATGGCTCAGGCTCGCCAGGGCCTCCTGAGCCACTTGGAAACCCCCTGGGCTCCCCCCTCCAGTAAGAAAAAGTCTAAAGTGATGCCTCCTGCCCCCACCCCGACTGGGAGCTCCGGACGTGAGCCAGGGGAGGCCTGTGCACCCATTGGGGGCGGGCTGGGAGCAGCCTCCAAGACTCAGGGTGACACTGAGCCCCCGCCCCGGCCACAAACCCCATCCTGGGAGACACAGTGCCGCCCAGTGACTGTCCAGTGACATCCCCCGTGTACCCCGTGGCCTCAATCCCATCTCCTGGAGTCTCCCCAGGACACTTGGCGGATGGCAGGGAGGGAATAGACTCACAGGTGCCATGAGCCCCAGTTCACAGCCCTGCATGCAGCCAGGAGGAGACCCTTGCCCCAGTGACCACTGTCGCCAGTTCCCCAGGGAGGGGGGAGGGGTGGAGCAGGACAGGGCTGGAGCCGCCAGACTGGAACGCAGGCCAGGACGCAGGCTTTAAAGGCTCCCAGTGACGCGGGAGGTGGGGGGGATTCTTCTCAACTCAGGGTCGGAGGCCCCTGGCCAGTGCAACCGAGTCCCCTAAATTCCCCATCTGCACACTCCCCCCCCCCCACTCCCAGGTTCTCTGCAGCCGTGCATGGGGACTGTGAGGGTAACAACGAAAACCAGGTTCAGCAGAACCCAGCCAGGCTCTGCGGTTCTGCCTGTGAGGCTGCCCACGCCTCCCGGGGAAACGGCAGGAGATGAGACGGACGTGGGGCACGAGCAGAGAGCCGGGAGGGCCAGGCTCCCACCTAGCCTCTGCAGGCCTGCGAGCACAGGGCAGGGACTGCGGGCCTCAAGCACAGGCCCCAGCGTCCAGCACCCGGCTCTGCTGTCCAGCTCCCTGGCTCTGCTGCCCAGCGCCCGGCTCTGCGCCAGGCCCACACTGCCCACAGGCCTCGGGCTGGCGGCTGCTCGCCTTCACTGTGCGGGGCCTTTCCTGATGCCGCTGCTTCTGTGTCCGTCCTGCGTCTGGACAGAGACCAAGTCTCCGCCTGGAGCCAGAGTCCCTCAGGCCACCGGCCTCTGCAGAAGCTGAGCCGCTTCTCTGCAGGTCAGAGCCGCCGGCACAAGCCCAGGACTCCCGGCCACGGGAGCGTCAACGCGACACAGACCATGCTCCTCCGTGCTCCCCTAGTGCTCCCCTGTGTTACCCCAGTGCTCCTCCATGCTCCCCTAGTCCTCCTCTGTGTTCTCCCAGTGCTCCCCAGTGCTCTTCCATGTTCCCCTAGTGCTTCCAAGTGCTCCCCCCGTGCTCCCGTGTTCCCCCAGTGCTCCTCCGCGCTCCCCCATGTTCACCTAATGCTCCCCTGTGCTCCCCCAATGCTCCCCAGTGCTCCTCTGTGCTCCCCTAGTGCTCCCCTGTGTTCCCCCAATGCTCCTTCATGTTCCCCCAGTGCTCCCCCCCGTGCTCCCCCAGACGTGGCGTGGGGGCGTTCTGTGTCACCTGGAAGGGGGCATCTCGCCTTAGCGTGTGCGCGCGTGTACATGTCTGGCACGTGTGCATTTACACACGCCCCTGTGAGCACGTACAGACACACGTGGGTGTGTGCGCCTGTGTGTGCACACGTGTGCAGTGACGGAGCCTGGCCCCCCCTTCCCCGGGATGCTTACGGCTCCCCCCAGGGGTGTCCTGTAGCTCTGCACAGGGGCTGACAGCACACGGTCCCCGGCCTCCCCCTCCCCCCCCCCCCCCCCCCCCCGCAGTGCTGGACCTGGAGAGGACAAAGCCCCTGAGCCGTGGGGGGTGGGTGATGGTGCCCCAGCCTGGGAGGGGCCCTAGGGACAGGCACGACTGGGCTAGGCCCTGACCACCCCTCCCCCACTCCTGCCCACCAACTCCCATCCTCCGGTCTCCCAGTCTCCCAGCGCCCTGTGGATCCTAGGCGTGTGGGCTGGGCCCGAGAGCTCCCCTCCCCCCATCTTCGAGGGGGGCCGCCCGAGGCAGACTGCTATTTCACGCCCTGTTGGTTCCTAATGCGCTAACCACAGTATCATTCCTGCTCCAAACTGGGGCTGTATTTTTTTTTCCCCTGTTTCCTACGTGGCCTGAGCATCCCGGAAGGAGAACATCACTTCTAGCATGGCTCAGTCCAGAGACAGGCTCGGGGCCGGCGGGCGGCGGGGTGGGAGGTGGGGGAGACAAGGGGCTCTGCCGTCTGCACCATCCCCTTCCCTGTGGGCTGGGCGGCCTGTCTGGAGTTCTGGGTGCGGGCAGCCCAGGGAGGGCCAGCTGAGGCTGTGCGCAGGGGCAGACGCTGCTGCCCACAAGGCGGGTGGGGGACCCTGTGCAGACAGCAGGGGCTGGGACCACCCCTGGACTCACTGGGGGGCCCTCCAGAGCCCACCAGACCTGGGTCTCTCATGGCCGTGAGCCCGAGTCGGCGGCAGGGTCCCCGCCACGCGGTGCTCAGCACAGCCCAGCTCCCTTCCCGGGTCCCCCCCAGGGGGTCTGGGCTGTGGCCTGGGCTAGAGGCCCTGCAACGGGGTTCACCCGCCTCAGTGATAAAGCAGCCTTGGCCCAGGGAGCTGCACTCTCCGCCCAGGGTCCTCACCGCGGGGAGTGACCAAGAACCAGGAGGAGCGGGCTCACACGGGCGGGACCCCTGGCATAGTCGGGGGTGGTGGGGGCAGCGTCCTGACCCTGAAAGGGGCTGGTCCAGCCGGACCCCAGAAGGGCACAGTCTGGGGCTGAGACCCACCCCACCCTCAGCCCAACCAGCTGCCCAGACACGGGGACCGGACACTCGCGCCCACTCTCTGCTTTCACGGGGTCTCCCCATCGGGAGAGGAGAGGCCCGGCCGTGCTCCCCATGGGCCCAGGCGCTCTGTCCCCAGCACCAAGAGCTGGGGAGTTCTGGCCGCCTGAGCCCTGCACCTGGGGGAGAAGCCCGCCTCCAGGGGGTGGCTGGACCCTGGCAGGGCAAACCCGAGTTAGAAAGCCTCACCCTGACCCGCCCACCCTGCCGTCTGGGCCCCCCACTGGACAGTGAGCGTGCACGGGGGTGTCGGGTGCAGCGAGGGCACAGGGGTCAGACCCCGGAGCTGATTGGGGGTTGCTCCTCCCCGCCGGCAGTCACCAGCCTCTCCTCTCCCAGGGCACCCCGATGCCCAGGCCAGGCTCCGAAGATCCCGGGATGGATCCCAGGGCCCAGCGCAGGCCCAAAAACCACCCAGCCCATCCTGGGGTCATCTCTCAATGGCCCTCACCCACACATCCAGGCAGTGCACAGGCTGTGAGCCTTGTGGGAATGCCCCAACAGCACCGAAGATCCCATCTGGGGGAAACTCCATGTCCAGCATGGGACAGAGCACAGAGCCCGCCACCTTGGGACCACAGCCCAGAAATTCCCATTGATGCGCGGCCTCCACACAAGGGAACATGAGGCGAGGGAACCCCCGCACAGCCCCAGCACCCCTCCCTGTACCCCGGAGAGCCCCCTGCAAGCCCCATCCCCCCGTCCCTTCATCTCCGGGAGGACCGTGCCTGGGAGTGTCCCCGGCTGTCCGTGGAATGTTGCGTGACCCCGGCTGGAGTGTAAGGGGGCCTGGGCTCCCTGGAGGGGCTCCCCTTTGCCCATCATCGTAAAGCACGTTACCAAGGGTTATGGAACCCATCAGACACACACCACATGGCAGCCACCTCCCCATGGGGCGCCGGAGACCGCTGCACAAGCATGTGACTGACGTAGACAAAGACAGAACGACAAAGTGCTTGGCGTGGTGGCCGCTGAGCTGCGACGGGCTGAGGGATCCAGCCTGGGAGCAGAGACCTGACGCTGCCCAGCTCCGCATGACAGACAGAGTGTGGGGTGCGGCCCCCAAGATGTGGTTGCTGACTGCACATCCTGACTCCCGGGCCCTTGCTCTGCTGCCGGGTCACACAGCCCAGGGCCCCAGAGAGTGTAGGAGGACTTCGGGCGGGGGGGGGGGGGGGGCGTCTCTAGGGCTGACTTGTGAATATAGCTGGGGGCTCAGAACACCTGCTCCCCCCCGCTGCCTCCCCTGGGACTATTGCTAAAAGGTGCACAAAACCCTACGACGTGCCCCAAGCACCAAAACACCCCAGTCCCAGGGTCTCTCATCTGGTCCTCCAGACCCGAGGCCAGAACACACGGAGGGAAACGGGCAGCCATCAGATGGGCAGAAGTGAGCGTCCCGGGCTGGGGGGGGAATCTCCCAGCTCCCATGGGACCTGCACGGAGAACAACACCCCCACCTGCAGCGCCTTCTCCCTTGCCACCTCCGGGCACACCCTGGGCTGCACACACAGGGTCCGAGCACCCCTCCTGATGCCAGTGCTTTCCGGACTCCGTCTCGCTTGGGCTGGGTTTGGTTCGGGGACCGGGGTGCCGGCCGCTCCTTACCTCCACTCCCTGAACCTTCAGCTTCATGTGGTCCTCGCGGGTGGTCTTTCCATCCTTCCGCTTCTTCCAGCAGTAGCCATCCTTCCGGTACTTCACCTTCTTCCTGTTGTAGAGGATCATGGAGCCATTCTGCGGTCTGCAAAGCGACACAGGGCAGGTTACCCAGAGGCCACCGGCCACCAGTCTCCACGGCAAAGCCAGAGGCCACACTCGCGGGGATGCCCCGTTTTTCACCTTTTATTGCGGTGCTCAGGATTCACCATGTTTCATGGGCCAGCCAAAATTTGCCCGTGGATTTGGTACCATGAATGTGGCAATGATGGGCCGGGAAAAAAAAAAAAAAAACATCTCCTGCCTAAGGTTCACCATCTGATGAGTAACTACGGCGTGGGGAAGGGGCAGGAGGAGAGTGGGGGTGGTCGAGCCACACAGCTCCCCGTCTCCGACCCCCTCACTGGCATGGGAATAAAGGGGCGCGGGTGCTAGATGTCTGTGTTGGGTGCAAGCCCACAGCGGACGGGGGGGGGAGCTGACTGCGAGTGGGGGCGGTCCTAGTCCAGCCCCCCATCCCGTGGAAGGCCTCCGAGCTCAGGTCTCCACTGACCACCGCTTAGGGAAACAGATGAGGAGGGGTCGGTTCTTCCGGGGTCCGGCAGTGACAGGCCAAACGGCAGAGGCCCTCAAATGGTCCCTCCGAGCCTGGTGGGCCCCGCTGACACGTGGGCTGGGAGCGGGGGGGGGGGGGGGAGTGAGCACCCCCCTGCAGTGGGGGCGGGGCATGGCAGGGGCAGGGACGCTTGGGAAGCTCCCCCGTGCTCCAGGGCAGGAGCCCCCAGATCTGCAGCCTGGGAGACCCACAAGAGCCTCCAAACACTCCCCCCACAGTGCCGGCACACTAGGCAGACACCGGCCAAGAGAGCAGGTGAGGCTGCAGAGGGGACCAAACTGGCCACCCCCCTGCCCGCACAGCCCAGCTCTCCCTCCCCCCGTCCCTCCCCCTCCTTCCCCCTCTCCATTTCTCCCTCCCCCTCCCCCCTCTTTCCCTCCCTCTCCCCTTCTCTCCCTTTCCCTCCCTCTGTCCCTCCCTCTCTCTCCCTCTCCCTCCCTCCCTCTCTCTCCCTCCCTCTCCCTCTTTCTCCTTCTCTCCCTCCCTCCCCTCCGCCTTTCTAGGAATCAGCTCCCCACTCCATCACTGGCCAACCAGTGAGCCGCTGGCTCCTGTCAACAGGGGTTTCCTCACAGCCCGCGCAACTGAGATAGGCTGAGGCAGCATCACGCCTGTCACAGCGTGTCACCTCTGGGGCCTGTCACAACACTGTCACCTCTGGGGCCTGTCACAAAACTATCACCGGTGAGGCCTGTCACAATGTGTCACCTGTGGGACCTGTCAACACCGTCACCGGTGGGGCCTGTCACAGCATGTCACTTGTGGGGCCTGTCACACCGTTGTCACCTCTGGGGCCTGTCACAAAACTGTCACCTGTGAAGTCTGTCACAATGTGTCACCTGTGGGGCCTGTCAACACTGCCACTTTGGAGCCTGTCACAGCACTGTCACTATGGGCATGTCCCAATGCAGTCAGCTCTGGGGCCTGTCACCCGGGTCACCCGTGGGCCCTGCCTCCAGACGCCTGACAGGGCCTTGCTAAGTGACGGGGGGGGGGGGTGCGGCACCCCGATTCTGCCATCTCCCCCTTCAGTTCGAGCCCTGAGTTCCCCAAGAGACCCCAACTACGAGGCCTATGCCCAGGAGTGAGCTGGCAGCACGGGACCCTCTGAGCAGAGCCGCCCCCGACAGAAACAAGGACCCAGAGGGTGGCATCCCCCTCGCCCGCCCAGGCCCAGCAGGGGCTCCCGGAGACACGTGGCCACCAGGTCCAGCCGGGCAGCAGTGCCCTCGCCTCTCACTGACACGCCTGTAGACTGACGCCCCCTCGTAGCTGTGGCCCCCAGGGCCCTCTCCCAATGCCCACCTGCCCATAGATCCAATCCCCCAGGAAGATCCCGCGGGGACCCCACCCCCATTTGTCCGTCCTCACCTCCCATGAGAAGTAAGACCCGAACACCTGCCATGAGGAGCAGCCGCGCTCACCTCTCCTTGGCAAAGACCCCCACGGCCACCCCCACCCGAGGAAGGGGGGACGCCAGGCCAGAGGGTCGGAGCCGGTCCTGTGTGCAGGGAGGGTGGAGGGTGGGGCATGTGATTTCAAGGCAGCTGAAAAGGAGGGGCCTGGCCGGGAAACAGGAAATGGGGACACGGGGAGGACACGGAGGTTAGCGGGAGACGCACGGGGGCTGCCATCAAGCCCCGATCGCTCATTTCCAGGTCCACGACCACATCTATGGCCGTGACCACGGCCACAGCCACGACCCACAGCCACGACCACGGCCATGACCACAGCCACAGCACGTCTACACCCACAATCACATCCGCAACCACGTCCACGATGCTCTCCATGTCTGGCTGTTGTCACTGGTTGAGAGGCAGCAGGCTTCAGAGGGAGCCAGGACTGGGAGGTGACAGGTGGTAGGACTGCCCGGCGGAGCCCAGGTGGACCGAGCCCTCACGGGGAGCGACCCCCACACTGCCCGCCCTGTCCTGCCCCTCCAGCGGGCACCTCCCTGCAGGTCTCTGCCCTCCCACCCCCTGGGGCCCAGTAGCCCTGGGGATGCTGGCGGCGTGGACACCGGGTCCGGCCACCTGGCTTTGCTTTCGGCCCGTGTGGGGTCTTGGCTGCACATGTCCCGTCTGTCTGGGCCTGCGTCTGTCTATTCGCTCTCTCCGCCCCGACCCACAGCTGCCACTCACCCTGACACCTACGCCTGCCCCAGATTCACGCCACGGCGCCCTCTGGGTCGACGACTAAACCTCCAACTCTGCCCCTGTGTCCACACCCACATCTGCGTCTGCGTCACGCTCTCTGAGAGGGGTGGTGTGGAGTCGCCGCCGGCCTCCCTCAGACCCTGCCCGTGTCCTTCCGTCCATGCCCCCTGCGGGCTCACTGCCGGCTCTGCGCCCACACGATCAACCCTGCTGGCCACACCCGCACCACTCCTCAGCGTGCAGGAATCACTCCTGTGGTTTGGGGGGACCGGATGGGGTGCCGGGGGCTGAATCCGGCCAGCTGCATGCAAGGCAAGTGTCCTACTCACAGCACTAGCACTCTGCCCCCAGGCCCCCAATTCTGGAGTAACTATGGCAACCTTAGGCCCTCACTCCTTATTCGGCCAGGTAACCTGTGTCCGGCTAACCGGGGAGCCCCACCTGTGTCTGGGCAACTTGGGGTGCCCCACCTGCATCTGGGTAACCCAGGAAGCCCCCACCTGTGTCTGGATAACCTGGGGAGCCCCCACCCATGTCTGGGTAACACAGGGTGCCCCACCCATGTCTAGGTACCCCGAGGAGCTCCCACCCGTGTCCGGGTAACCCGGGGAGCCCCTACCTGTGTCTGGGTAACCTGGGGAGCCTCCCACCCATGTCTGGGTAACACAGGGTGCCCCACTCATGTCTGGGTAACCCAGGGTGCCCCACCCATGTCTGAGTAACTGGGGGAGCCCCCACCCATGTTCGGGGAACCCAGGGAGCCCCACCCGTGTTCAGGGAACCCGGGAGCCTCCGTGGCCAGCACAGCCCTCGATCTTCCCATGGTGACTCAGCAGGAACGAGGCCACCCTCTGGGTCTCCCTGCTGACTATTGCATTCACAGGCTTGCCGGGGTTTCCTGACCCCCTCATCCGTGCACACTGGAATCCTCATCTCGGGACATCCTTGGGGAGGTGCAGGATCCCAAGGAGTGCCCCAGGGAGAGTGCAGAGCCCTGACGGCGGCGAGCAGAAACCCAGGGGGAGAACCGAGGTGCTCCCTACGGCCCTGCCACCTTCTGAGAGAAGCCACGGTCCAGGAGGAAGAGCCAGAGAAACGCTGCAAGTGACAAACGTCAGCAACGTCACAGTGGGGACGGAGACAGAGGGGCGAGCCAGGACGCCCCCAGACAGCCTGGCTCCTCGGGGGAGACGGCCACGACCTCAGGAACGGAACAGAACCCCCCATCCCCCCCCATCCCCCCCCCCCGAGCAATCGTCTTAGGTGATGTGGCAGCTTCGCGGTCCAGCAGGAGGGAGCCTGGCTCTGTACCAGGCAATGCGGCGAGGAACGGGGGAGGAAAAGGTGACTCTGGACCCATCACTCACGAGACAGCAGCGGCAGATGCAAATGGACGAGAGATTGAACGGAATTAAGTCACGAATCCACACAGATACCAGAGCAAATACACACACACACACACACACACACACACACACACACACACACACACACAGATCTCCCCCGGGACCCTCGAAGTGGAGAAGGCGTGTGGCCACGTCCACAGTCCTGCACCAACGTGCAAGGCAGGCGCAAACAATGGCACAGAAATAAAACCACCGGCCCATTCTCCAAAGGAGCGTGCCGCTCTGCACACCCGCTGGAAACGTATGAGGACACGGGCCTCCCTGCGTGCGCTGCCGAGTCTGATATTATGCCACCATCGCTGCGGTGCTGGGTATTATGTCTTTGGATTATAGCCAGCCTGGCGGGTGTGTGGAGGGTTTTAATTTGCATTTCTCTAGTGACTAATGATGGTGAGAATCTTTTCATCTCCTTATTAGTCATTCGTAGTTTCTCTGGCGAATTGTCTAACTCCTTTGCCCCTTTTGGGGAGGTCGTTTTTTTTTCAGGGGGGCCCTCGGAGCGATTCAGGAGGGCGACTTGTGCCTCCGCGCTCAGGGATCACTCCTGGTGGGGCTCGGGGGGGCATATGGGGTGTGGGGGATCGAATACAGGGCCAGCCACATGCTGGGCGGGTGCCCTGCCTTCTGGCGCCATCACCCTGCCCACTTTGCCCATTTTAATCTCAGTTACTCGTCTTCTTTAATACAGGCGCTGAAGACCGAGGTATGTGCGTGACTGGCAAGCGTCTCCTCTTGCAGTCTGCAACTTTTCTCTTTCGTAATGGTCTCTTTCAAAAGTTATATTACAAAATTCTATTACTCGCAAAGTTCAATTTATCTATGGTTTCTGAACTGCGCTTTTAGCATCATCCCTAAGGATCCTGCCCTACCTTAGACCTGAAGAATCTTCTCTGCGCTCAGGAATCAC